GGCCGCCCAGCCCAAAAAGGTTCGGACTCGGCCCAGGTCCGAGTGGGCAGGGGGGTCTCGGAAATCCTGAGGGTGGTCCTGCAGCCAGGAGCCCAGCACTGACACCACCGCCCTGGCCAGAGAGGCAGGGTCTCAGAGCCGGGTCCAGAGTGGTGGGGGACCCAGAATGTGACTCCTGGCACTTTTCTCCCTCCCTCCCTCCCTCCCTCCCTCCCTTCCTTCCTTTTTTGACAGACTCTGGCTTTGCTGCTCAGATTGGAGTGCAGTGATGCTGTCTTGGGTCACCGCAACCTCCGCCTCCTGGGTTCAAGCGATTCTCCTGCCTCAGCGTCCCGAGTAGCTGGGACTACAGGTGCGCGCCACCATGCCCAGCTAATTTTTGTCTTTTTAGTAGAGATGGGGTTTCACTATGTTGCTCAGGCTGGTCTTGAACTCCTGACTTCGAGATCCACCCCCATTGGCCTCCTGAAGTACTGGGATTATAGGCCTGAGCCACCGCGCCTAGGCTTCTTCCTCTTTTTTTTTTTTTTCTGAGACAGAGTAAGACTCTGTCACTTAGGCTGCAGTACAGTGGCCTGATCTTGACTCACTGCAACCTCAGTCTCCCAGGTTCAACTGATTCTAATCCCTCAGCCTCCTTAGTAGCTGGGACTACAGGTGTGCACCATCACACCTGGCTAATTTTTTTTTTTGTTTTTGTATTTTTAGTACAAAAAGGGTTTCTCTATGTTGGCCAGGCTGGTCTCTAACTCCTGATCTCTAGTGGTTCACCTGCCTCCACCTCCCAAAACGCTGGGATTATAGGTGTGAGCCACCTCACCCAGCCTGACTATTGGTCTTTTATTACCCAACCTGCAATTTTCTTCTTTTTTTTTTTTTTGAGATGGAGTCTTGCTCTGTCACCCAGGCTGGAGTGTAACGTCATGGTCTTGCCTCGCTGCAACCTCCGTCTCCTGAGTTCAAGTGATTCTCTTGCCTTAGCCACCTAAGTAGCTGGAATTATAGGTGCCCACCACCATGCCCAACTAATTTTTGTAGTTTTAGTAGATATGGGGTTTCACCATGTTGGCCAGGCTGGTGGTCTTGAACTCATGACCTTATGATCCACCCATCTGGACTTCCCAAAGTGCTGGGATTAGAGGCTTGAGCCACTGCACCGGGCCCCAACCTGCAATTTGCAAAACCCCAGGCTGACCAGTAACCTTTGTCCTCTGGGATTTTCCTCCCCCCAACTCCCCTATTTGGATGGGGGACCAACCTCAGGTTTTTGTTGAAGCTCAGATCTTGTCCCGCTGTCTTCTTGATCTCTGCCCTGGGAAGAGGCCCCCCAGCAGGTGAGGAAGGGGGAATCTAGAGGGGCCTTAGGAAGAGGGCTCTGGGTTTGGGAGGTGTATCTTGGTCCCACCTGAGGAGGTGCGGGTGTGCCCAAGTGGGGATCTAGGGTGGGAACATGGAGGTTTTGGGTTGCTACTGACCCAGGAGGTGGGGGCGGCGGCACTGGTGGCAGCAGAAAGCCCAGAAGGCGGGCAGTGGGTACGAAGGTCCGGTGGGTGGCCAGGAAGGCGGGCACAAAACTGGGGTCCTGCTCACGGTCTCCAGACACCAACTCTCCTACCAGCCACTCCAGGCGTGCTGCCCTCAGCACCCGCACTTTGCTGGTTCGATAGTGGAGGAAGGTATTGGCAGCAGATGGGCTGGGGGCCTGCAGGAGGGGCGGGGTGGCCATGAAAGACCAGGAGTGGTCCTTGAAGCACCTTCTCTAATCACGTTTATCCCTAGCACCACTCTTTTTTCCTTACTTTTTTTTTTTGAGATGGAGTCTTGCCCCGTCACCCAGGCTGGAGTGCAATGGTGTGATCTCGGCTCATTGCAACCTCCGCTTCCAGGGTTCAAGGGATTCTCCTGCCTCAGCCTCCTGAGTAGCTGGGATTACAGGTCCACATCACCATACCCAGCTAATTTTTTGTATCTTTAGGAGAGATGGGGGTTTCACAGTGCTGGCCAGGCTGGTCTCGAACTCCTGACCTCGTGATCCATCACCTTGGCCTCCCAAAGTGCTGGGATTACAGATGTGAGCCACTGCACCCAGCCCCTAGCACCGCTCTTTTTTTTTTTTTTTTTTTTTTTTGAGACAGTCTCGATCTGTCACTAGGCTGGAGTGCAGTAGCACAATCCTGGCTCGTTGCAACTTACGCCTCCCAGGTTCAAGCAATTCTCTGCCTCAGCCTCCCGAGTAGCTGGGATTACAGGCACCTGCCCCCATGCCTGACTAATTTTTTGTATTTTTATTGGAGATACGGTTTCACCATCTTGGCCAGGCTGGTCTTGAACTCCTGACCCAGTGATCCACCCACTTTGGCCTCCTAAAGTGCTGGGATTACAGGCATGAGCCCCTGAGCCCGACCCCTAGCACCACTCTTGCATGTGATTCCTCTGACTCCCGACTTCTTGGAGTTATTGTTTTCTTTTGGTTTTTTTTTTAGAGACAGGGTCTTGTTTTGTTGCCCAGGCTGGGGTGCAGTGGCACAATCATAGCTCACTGAAGCCTCCAATTCCTAGGCTCAAGTCGTCCTCCTGCCTCAGCCTTCTGAGTAGCTGGGACCACCGCTGAGCACCAGCACGCCCACCTAATTAATTTGTAGAGAGAGAATCTTGCTGTGTTGCCCAGGCTGGTCTCAAATTCCTGGCCTTCTGCCTTGGTCTCCCAAAGCGCAGGGATTATAGGTGTGCGCCCCACACTTTCCCGGCTTGGAGTTATTATTCAGCCCCGTCCACGAATAGCTCCTGCAACCTGCCCTCCCTGTCCCATGCCCTGTCCCCTACCCCCCCACACACACTCTTGGCCACCTGCAGCTTCCCTCAGCCATCCTGACACGCTTCACTGGCTGCCCCACCCGCCCTCACCTGGCCACTTCTAAACCAACCCCATTCCACCTTCCAGCCCCAGCCCTCTAAACCGGCCTTTCCTCACCCGGCCGTCCAGTTCTGCCCTTACCAGTTTGTCCCCAGGCTCCCCTTGGGAACTGCGCAGCCATCACCTGGCCCCACTCCTATTCCTTGGATCTCCCCATTTACCTGGCCGCCCCCAGGCCCTTGTCTACCCTCACCAGGTCGCCTCTGAGCCCCTCCCTTCCTCCCGCCCGCGGCACCTGGCGGCCAAACCTCGGCTCTCCAGCTCCGCCCTCACCTGGTCGCTTCGCTCCCCGCCCACCCGTCGAACTCCCTCCTCACCTGGCTGCCCTCGGGGCCCTCCCCCGGGCTCAAGCGCTGACTGCGCTGCCGCCTCAGGGAGACGCTGTACACCGCGCCGTCCTCGGTCTCCTCACCCCAGTCCTGCAGCGGCGCCTGAACGCAGAGTAGGACTCAGTGCACCAAAGGGGCGCGGGTCCTGGAGCCTCAGCCTCCTTCGCGGCGCAGACTCGGGCCGAGTTTTCCTGCTCCATCCCCACGCCCCTTCCTGGCTAGAGGCTTCGAGACTCCGGCTGGGGTCCCAGGCTAGTCCCCTCCTCGCTGCGGGCCCCCTCCTCCCAAGTCCTGAGGACAAGGGGTGGCATTTGGGGATGTCTCAGGGTCCAGTCTCATAGAACCTGTGTCTGGCCCTTTTCTGCTGACTGCGCTCAGAGACTCCCGCCCCCATCCCTAAGAGGAAACAATCGCTTCACTGGGTCTTGGGTCGTGAGTCCCCAGGAGGGGACTCCAGGGCGATTTCAAATGGGGAGCAGGTGGCGTCCGAAGGGAGGGCACTTGGAGTTTCGGGACCTTGCGGGTCGCCAGGGATGCAGGATCCGGGAATCCCTTGTCCCCTTACCAGGGCCAGCTCTTTGCCTGCTGTGCGCTCCATGGCCGACGCCCGTCCCTCTCAGTGGCGCCGCTGAGTGAGGCGGAAGGGCCGGCGGGTGGCGGGCAGTGGCCGAGCGCTGGGGCCAGTGGGGCGGGGCGGTCGAGTTGCTGGGGCGGGCGGGGCAGGCCGGACCCACGGCTCTGGATCCTTCCAGCCGGACCTCACTCCAGCCCAGGAGAGGTCCTGGCTCTTCCGCCGGGTGCCTATCAATCTGTCCCCAGGAAAAAGGACACATCTGTCCCAAGAGAAGGGTCTCTTTTGTGTCCCCAGATGTTGGGGAGCTCCTGTGTGGGGGCAGATGTGTGTCCCCAGACCGGAGTCCTTTGTCCTCTAGTGGAAAGGGCTAGCTTGACCAAGTGTGGGGGCATCTTCCACTTTTGATGATGATGATTTTTTTTCAGGCGGAGTTTCCCTCTTGTTGCCCAGGCTGGAGTACAATGGCCAGATCTTGGCTCACTACAATCTCCACCTCCTGGGTTCAAGCAAGTCTCCTGCCTCAGTCTTCCAAGTAGCTGGGATTACAGGCACCCACCACCACACCCGGCTTTTTTTTTTTTTTTTTGTATTTTTAATAGAGATGGAGTTTCTCCATGTTGGTCAGGCTGGTCTCGAACTCCCGACCTCAGGTGATCCACCCACCTCAGCCTCCCAAGGTACTGGAACTACAGACATGAACCACTGTGCCCAACTGATTATTTTTATTTTGCGAAGGAGTCTCATTCTGTTATACACGATGGAGTACAGTGGCTTGATCTCAGCTTACTGCAACTTCTGCCTCCCGGGTTCAAGCGATTCTCCTGCCTCAGCCTCCCAAGTAGCTGTGATTACAGGTACCACCACCATGCCTGGCTAATTTTTGTACTTTTAGTAGAGAAGGGGTTTTGCCATGCTTGCCAGGCTGGTCTCAAACTCCTGGCCTCAAGCGATTCACCTGCCATGGCCTCCCAAAATGCTGAGATTACAGGCATGAACCACGGTGCCTAGCCTTATTAATTTTTTGAGATAGGGTCTCAGTCCCATTGCCCAGGCTGGAGTACAGTGGCATGATCTTGGCTCACTGCAACCTCCACCTCCTGGGTTCAAGGATTCTCCTGCCTCAGTCTCCCAAGTACCTGGGACTACAGGTACATGCCACCACGCCCGGCTATTTTTTTTTGGGGGGGGGGGGCGGTTAGAACTCTTTTTCACCATGTTGCCCAAGCTGGTCTGGAACCCCTGGGCTCAAGCAATCCACCCAGCTCAGCCTCCCAAAGTGCTGGGAAAACAGGGAATACAAGTCTGTGGCCCTGGGTTTTCAGGGACAACTCTCTCTTGAGTGGTGCAGGGTCATAAAGAGACAAATACCCAGGGGCTTGGTCTGTGACCTTTATTGCGCAATTCTGAGGCCAGGGCAGACCCAGCTGGGGAGATTTACTGTGGGAACGTCTGGCCCGGCCCCTTCCTCTCCTCCGGGCGCCGCTGGCTGCCTTGGCTCCCTGTCCGAACTACGTTCGGCCCTTGAAGGGGCCCCGTGGGGCCTGCGCTAGGCCCGGAGGAATCGGGGGCCCCGATGGGGCCACCAGGGCGAGTCTAGGACCTCCGAGAGCGACGGTGCTTCTTGCGGCTTTCGATTAACTTCTGTGAACGGATCTTGAGCGATGCGCGGGTCACTACCTCGTTGTCCTCCTCCTCACTCTCTTCGTCTAGGGGGGAGGGTGAGGGGGAAGCAGGGAGCATTGAGGGATCCGGGTCCCCACCCCCGGGTCTCCTTCCCAGCCTTTACCACCCCATTCCACCCCCACCTTGGCCCTGAGCAGGGTATCCGACAACTTCCTGCTCCCCAGCTTGGGGCTCCAACCATACCCCTTCATCCTTCCACCCATACTGACCAAAAAACTTGTCCTTGGAAGTAGCAAGGGGCAGGGCGATGCGGGTGTTGTATTTGGGCAGGCTTTCCTCTAAGCTGGCAAGGAACTAAGAGAGCAAGAAATCACGTTCCCTCTCCTCCCCACCCCATTCCAAGATATGCCCCGGTTTTAGCTGGAGACCACTACCCACTTCCATCCCTCTTTCAGCAGACACCTTGATACCCAGCTTCAACCTCTCATCACTCAGGTCCATCCCTGGTCTCTGGGGCCTTGCCACTAGGCCTGTCCCCATCCCGATTGCTCAGCCTCATCCTCTGGCCTCCTGGACCCAGAGCCCGCACCTCTTCTGGTTTCTTTTCTTTTCTTTCTTTCTTTTTTTTTTTGAGAGGAAGTTTCGCTCTTGTTGCCCAGGCTGGAGTGCAATGGCTCGATCTTGGCTGCAAGCTCCACCTCCTGGGTTCAAGAGAGTCTGGTGCCTTAGTTTCCCGAATAGCCGGAATTACAGGCGTCCACGCCCAGCTAATTTTTTGTATTTTTAGTAAAGCCGGGGTTTCACCATGTTGACCAGGCTGGTCTCGAACTCCAGACCTCAGATGATCCACCCACCTCGGCCTCCCAGAGTGCTGGGATTACAGGCGTGAGCCACCGCGCCCGGCCACCTCTTCTGGTTTCTTTCCTTGTGGCTCCTCAAACCTCACTCGTTGTCCCTGAGACCCCCTCCTGGCTCATCAGCCTGCACCCTGGTCTCCCGAGGTTGCCCGCGGTTCCCTGGTTTTCCGACCCAGCCCCCCTCCTCGATCTCTGGAGCCCTGCCCCATAGCTGCAGGGCACCTCGCGGTCGGCGATGTGACGCAGCATCTCCTGGACGTCGTGGCTCCCGAGCTGCGACTGCAGTTTCAGCAGCTTTTCCTCCACGAAGTCCAGCAGGTTTGGTAGATAGTTATCTGCTTGGGGATCCAGCTCCTTTCCCGCGAAACTACCGTCCTCCTGCGGCCAGGGCGGAGTCCGGTCAGCCGAGAGGGGTGTGGCCTCGTGAACAGGCTCCACCCAGGGGCGGGGCTTTTCCTCTGGGGCGGGGCCTGGGAGGTAAAGTTCCCATTTACAGGGGCGGTGCTAGTCAGTGGGGACGGGGACGCGGGTCAAGGCCACGTCTGTGAGGGCGGAGCCTCTGAACTGCAGCTACAGTGTGGAAAGGTTTCGGGGCGGCCACTTGGTGGGGACGGTAATCGAGGGAGGCCATTATGGGAATGGCCTCCTGAAGAAATGGGCCTCTGCTACGGGCACGATAGGGCTTCTGTCTCGGGTGGCTCCAGAATTGCAGCGAGGTCTCCGAGGTTTTCGGTGGGGACAGGGTGGGACTTTCCCTTGGAGGTAGAACTTGAGACCGGAGAGGGTCTCCGAAGTCTTGGGCTTCCTTTCGAGAGTGAGAGTTCCCTTAGGGATGTGGGGCGGGGATTCTGAGGAATGGGGCGAGGCTTCTTCCCATGTGGGCGGGGCCTCTGTTGTCCGGGACAAAGGATGGGGGTTCCCTAGGGCAGGCCGCTGTGACAGGAATCCCCTCTTCGTGGTTTCGCGTCGTCGGTCCCGGGAGGGCCTGGAGGGGCTGCCTCTGGGCGGGGCCTACCACAGTGATGTGGATCAGCTTGCTGGCCAGGTGCTCCAGGCTGTCCTTAGCCACTTGCATCGCCCGCAAGGTGCGCTCCAGCTGGTCCTGGGCCTCGGCGCGCCGCCGCTCCTCCTGCTTGAGGCGTTCCTGCGCCTCGGCTTGCAGTTTCTGCTGGCTGCAGGGAACCGGGAGGTCGCCACTGGGGGGTTCAGTCTGCCCCGCCGCCGCCCCACCGACCTCCCCAGGATCCCAGGGCCTCACCTCACCATTGTGGCCTCCCCCGAGTACTTGAGGTTTTCCAGCTCCCGCTGCAGCTGTTGCTTCTCCTGCTTCAGCGTCACCAACGTCTGCTCGTTCTCGCTCTTGAGCGTCTGCAGCTTCGCAAAGGTGTCTCCCTGGGCCAGGAACCGCCGCACCACCGACTGCGGACCACGCGGCCCCAGTCAGAGCCAGGGTCTAAGGAGGTGCAGGAGCGCTTCGCCTCCTGCCCCCCACCCTGTGTCCCCTCAGAAGCAGGACAGGTGGCCTGAGCTGGCACCTTTTACACAGCGATGTATGGAGATACTGTGGGTTGGAGTCGGGGTTGCTTCAAGGGTGAGCTGCCCTGGATATATCATTTTTGTGGGGCCCTTTCTGGCCCATATAAGGAATTTGAGCTGGGCACGGTGGCTCACACCTGTAATCCCAGTACTTTGAAAGGCCAAGGCGGGCGGATCACGAGGTCAAGGGATGGAGACCGTCCTGGCCAACTTGGTGAAACCCCGTCTCTACTATAAAAAATACAAAAATTAGCCGGGCGTGGTGGTGCATGCCCATAGTCCCAGCTACTGGGGAGGCTGAGGCAGGAGAATCACTTGAACCCGGGAGGCAGAGATTGCAGTGAGCTGAGATCGTGCCACTGCACTCTAGCCTGGGTGACAGAGCAAGACTTCATCTCAAAAAAATTGAAAAACATATAAATACAAGGAATTTGAGTCAGGCCAAATTCGGGGGCAGCTGGACAGGTGAACATAGCTTCTTTCCAAAATCAATGTGCCATCAATTTCTGGTCATGAATCTCCCCCAGTCTCACAGGAAATGCCACCTGTCTTCGGAGCCATCCCCTCACAATGCCCAAATCTGGAAAAGGACTGTGCCTCAGTGCCCCAGATGACCCCATAGGTGTCCTCCCACAGGTGGAAGTCCCAGAACCCCTCAGGGGTCAGCCCCATAGGAGGAGCAGCAGGTTGGCAGGCACCCAGAGGGAAGAAACAGGGTTGGGGTCCAGTGCTCACTGGCAAGAACCAGGACCCAAGGGGGACACATTGGTCTTAGAATACTATAAGGAAGACACTGCAAAGTGAGGGACCTGGGGCAGGGATGCCACTTGCAGACACTGGAGACAGAACAAGAGAGGAAATTCCCAGTTCTCCTACAGCTGGCATGGCAAAGGAGTTAGCACGGTGCAAGAGAGAAAGGAAGGCGAGTGTAGAAATGACGGCGAGTATAGACGGCTCCTGGGAGTTTTGCTTCGAAGGCAGCAGAAAAACTGAATGGTAGCTGGAGAGGGAAGAGATATTTTTCAAGAAAGAAGCAGGTTTGTGAGCTGAAGAACTGACCTGTCAGTGGGGAGGCAGGGTGTGTTTGTTTCCTCGGCCTGGGGACCCCAGGGTGCATCTAGGGTGGAGGGGGCTCGGCAGCGGGCTGCCGGAAGAACTCACGTGCGACTCAGCAGTGCCGGTGGCGTCCTTGACCTTGTCAAATATCACCTCCATCTGGTACATGCTCCAGCGCCGCCGCAGCTCCTCCTCCTTGGCATGCAGGCTGTCTTGGATGGTGTCTTCAGACTGCAGCAGCAGGTGCTCACGGTGGGTCTGCTCGTGGGTTGAGGTCAGAGCCAGGGTCAGCTCGTGGACAGCGCTTAGCATGGAGGATGGGGAGGGGGATCCAGACTGGGGCCCCAAAGGGAACAGGGCTAGAACTGGAGGGAGGGGAGAGGGCAAAAAGTTGGGGCCAGATAAGGGCACTGGGCAGGGGTCAAGAAAGTGGGACAAGGCCAGGCTCGGTGGCGGTGGCTCATGCCTTTAATTCCAGCACTTTAGGAGGCCAAGGTGGGAGGATCGTTTTTTTGAGCCCAAGGATTTGACCAGCTTGGGAAATAGGGCAAAATCCCTTCTCTACAAAAAATACAAAAATTAGCAGGGCTTGGTGGCGCGCCTGTAGTCCCAGCTACTTGGGAAGCTGAGGTGAGAGGATCACTTGAGTCCAGCTGGTCTAGTCCGCAGTGAGCTATGATCAGCCTGAGGGACAGAGTAAGACCCTGTCTCAAAAAATACACACACACACACACACACACACACTACCAAAAAGAAAAAAAAAAACCCAAAAACAAAAAGGGCTGGATGGGTGGCAGCCTCAGGACAGGTGCCAGGTGCGGGGCCAATAGAAAGCGGGCGGGGCCTTAGGCAAGGGTTGGGCTAGAGGCAGGGTCAGATTTAAGACAGGCAGTCTACTCATGTGGGAAAGGATGAGTAGGGGTCAGTGAGTCGGGAAGGCTGGAGGCCATGTCAGAGCCAAAATAGAACAGCTACCTAGGAGGGCAGGGGAGGAGAGGGGTCAGGGATATGGGAAGAGTCTTTGCACCAACTGGGGGTGGAGTCAGGGAGTGGGGGGGTTAGGAGAAACTTCAGAGGTAGGAGAAAGCCAAGGATGAGGTAGAGCCAGGGCAAGGCTGGGCTGGAGTCACAGCCACATACTCCTGGGTTTGCCCACCTTGCGCTCCATGCGCTGGTTCTCCAGTTTCCTCTCCTCAGCGCGCTTCTTGCACTCACTTATGTAGCGTTCCCGCTTCTTGCGCTCTCGAACCAAGGTCTCCTCCAGATACTGCAGTTGGTTCTGGAGGGCGGGTAGGGGAGCAAGGGACCAGATGGCACCTACTGCTACCCGCCGCAGGGTGCTAGGAGATGGATGGAGGCGGGGGCGGTGGGGAAGCTCAGGGACAGCTGGGATCAGATTCTGAAGCTGGGACACCGTGGCAGCTGGGCAGGACGGCTGGGGACAAGAAGGTTGGCACCTTGGCAATCTCCCGGGCGTTGAGGGCCTCCTGGTTCACCAGGTGCAGTGCCTCCAGCTCGTGTTTGGTCCTCACCACCTCAGCCTCCATGAAGTACAGCCGATTCTCCAAGTGGAGGCTCTCGTCCTGGGGCATTGTGGGGGGTGTTGGGGAGATGAGGCAGGCCTGTGACTGCTGTCCCTAGCCCCTGCTTGCCCCCTCACCCAAGCCCTCCTAGTCCCTACCTGTAGATAGGCCTTGAGCTGCAGGTACACGCTGGTAATGCGCTCGGCCTCCTCCGCCTTCATCCGGGCCTTCTCCAGGCGGTTCTCCAGGTTCCGCATGGTCTAGAGAGTGGCAGGGTCTAGAGTGCCCTCCGCACTCGATCCCTCCCACAGGACCCTCTGCCCTGCAGGCCTCTCTCAGCCCTACCTTGGCCACCTCCGAGTGGCTGTTTTGCGCCTCTGCCATCTCCTGGTGGCGCAGGCTGTGCTGGAGCTGGAGCTCCTCCAGCCGCCTCTGCCGCAACACCACCTGGTGCTGCAGGGCGTTCCGCTGCTTCACCTTCTCGCTCAGCCGGTGGTCCAGGTGCTCCAGAGCCTGCTGCAAGGGGCCGAGCGAAAGCAGGGGCCTGAACACCCCATCCCAGCACACACCTAGCGCTTCCTGCCTTCCTTCTCCCATACTGTGGCTTCCAGGACCCCCCTCTCCAGTTTTCTACCCACCTCCCTGGCCACCCCTTCTGTGTTGTTTTTGGAGACAGAGCACCAGGCTTTTCTCTCTGTCCACACTGACCACCTTGGTGATCTTACACACACTCAGGGTTCTAATTTCTTTTTTTTTTTTTTTGAGACGGAGTCTTGCTCTGCGGCCAGCCTGGAGTGCAGTGGTGTGATCTCGGTTCACTGCAACCTCTGCCTCCCGGGTTCAAGAGATTCTCCTGCCTCAGCCTCCTGAGTAGCTGGGATTACAGGCGAACACCACCATGCCTGGCTAATTTTTGTATTTTGTATTTTTTTTTTTAAGTAGAGACGGGGTTTCACCATGTTGGTCAGGCTGGTCTTGAACTCCTGACTTTGTGATCTGCCCACCTTGGCCTCCCAATGTGCTGGAATTACAGGTGTGAGCCATTGTGCCCGGCCTCCAAATATTTTTTTTTTCTTTTTAGAGACAGGGTTTCACCATGTTGGTCAGGCTGGTCTCGAACTCCTGACCTCAGGTGATCCGCCCACCTCGGCCTCCCAAAGTGCTGGGATTACAGGCGTGAGCCAACGTGCCTGGCCATTTTTTTTTTCTTTCTTTCTTTTTGAAATGGAGTCTCACTCTCTTGCCCAGGTTGGAGTGCTGTGCCTCGATCTTGGCTCATTGCAACCTCTGCCTCCTGGGTTCAAGTAATTCTCCTGCCACAGCCTCCTGAGTAGCAGGGATTACAGGTGACCGCCACCATGCCTGGCTAATTTTTTTTTTAAACAGTCTCATTCTGTTGCCCAGCCTGAAGTGCAGTGGCATGATCTCGGCTCACTGCAACCTCCGTCTCCCAGGTTCAAGCAATTCTCCTGCCTCAGCCTCCCAAGTAGCCAAGAATACAGACATGTGCCACCACACCAGTTGAATTTTTGTATTTTTAGTAGAGATGAGGTTTCAGCATGTTGGCCAGGCTGGTCTCGAACTCCCGATCTCAGGTGATCCACCCACCTTGGCCTCCCAAAGTGCTGGGATTACAGGTGTGAGCCACTGTGCTCAGCCAATATGAGCTGTTTTTACAAGTGGGGACTTGGTCTGTTTTTTTTTTTTTTTTTTAAGACAGGGTTTCACCATGTTGGCCAGGCTGGTCTTGAACTCCTGACCTCAGGTGATCTGACCACCTTGGCCTCCCATAGTGCTGAGATTACAGGCCTGAGCCACCGTGCCCAGCCGACTGGTCTGTTTTTTCCCTGCATTTACTACCATGCCAGGATGCCAGGTCCAAGGATGGTGAGTAATAAAGATGTAACTGAATGAGCACATGAATGGCAGCTGGTGTGCAGAAAGGATTGGACAGCCTGGAGTCCAGCGCCGAGGGGACCCCGGCTGGTAATGAAGGAGGAGGTGGGGAGAGGGTGGGGCAAACCTGGCCTGTCCTGTTCTTGAGGTACGGCTTCTCCGACTTCCATTCTTGTATCACTGCCTGGACCACTTTCTCATCTCCCTGCAGGGAGGAGAGTGCAGTCACTTTTCATCATCCAACCTCTAGCTGAGGCCAGGTGCTGTCTCCTTGCCCCACCACCCCCATGGAACTCCTCCACCCACCTCTTCACCCCTTACCTTGAGCAGGTCCAGCAGCTTTAGTTCCAGTGCCTTAGTTTCCTCACGGAGCTGACTGATGGTTTCCTGATTCTTCTTGATGTTCCACTGTGAGCTCTCAAAAAAAGCCTTGCGGTCACCCTCTGCCAGGCAGGTGAGGTGGACAGACACACAGTTACTGGGTGGGTGGGTGCAACATCCCAGAGAGAAGACCTTTTTTTGCAATCATCAACTTAATATTATAAGAATGCAGCTCTCTCCGATCTGTGCCTCCAAGATGACAAAGAAAAGAAGGAACAACGTTGTGCCAGAAAGGGCCGTGGTCACATGCAGCCTATTCGCTGCCTGAACTGTGCCTGATGCGTGCCAAGGACAAGGCCATTAAGAAATTTGTCATTCAAAACAATGGAGGCTGCAGCAGTCGGGCATTTCTGAATCGAGTGTCTTCGATGCCTATGTGCTTCCCAAGTTGTATGTGAAGCTGCATTACTGTGTGAGCTGTGCAATTCACAGCAGAGCAGCCAGGCATCAATCTCATGAAGCCAGCAAGGACCGAACACACCACCCTGATTTAGACCTGCACATGCCCCATGACTCCCGCCAAAGCCCATGTAAGGAGCTGAGTCCTTACAGACTGAAGACAGACTATTCTCTGGAGAAAAATGAAATGAAAATTGTACTAAAAGAAAAAAAATGAATGCAGTCGTCAAACAGCCTGGCTGACATAGTGAAACCCCGCCTCTACTAAAAATACAAAAAAAATTAGCTGGGCACGGTGGCACGTGCCTGTAATCCCAGCTACTCAGGAGGCTGAGGGAGGAGAATTGCCTGAACCCAGGAGGCGGAGGTTACGGTGAGCCAAGATTGCGCCATTGCACTCCAGCCTGGGTAACAAGAGCGAAACTCCGTCTCAATAAACAAACAAACAAAAATTAACCAGGTGTAAAGCCGGGCACGATGGTCCATTCCTGTAATCCCAGCACTTTGGGAGGCCAAGGCGGGCAGATCACATGGTCAGGAGATTGAGACCATCCTGGCCAACATGGAGAAACCCTGTCTCTACTAAAAATACAGAATTAGCTAGGCATGGTGTTGTATGCCTGTGATCCCAGCTACTGGGGAGGCTAAGGCAGAAGAATCGCTTGAACCCAGGAGGTGGAGGTTGTGGTGAGCAAAGATCGCATCACTGCACTCCAGCCTGGGCAACAAGAGCAAAAACTGAGACATGGTCTCATTATGTTGCCAGGTTGTTCTCACACTCCTGGCCACCAGCGATCCTCTTATCTTGGTCTCCCAAAGTGCTGGGATTACAGGCATGAACAATCATGCTCAGCCTGTGAGAATACTGTATTTTCAATTTGCATTTAGTTGTGGACTCGGAATCCGGGAATACAAAGGGCTACTCTATTTACCGAAAAAAATCCGAGTATAAGAGGGTCTGTGCCCAGGCACGGTGGCTCATGTCTGTAATCCCAGTACTTTGGGAGGCTGATGTGGGTGGATTGCTTGAGCTCAGGAGTTCCAGACCAGCCTGGGCACATATGGTGAGACCACGTCTCTACTAAAACTACAAAAAATGTGGCCTGGTGTGGTGGTGTGAGCCTGTGAGTCCCAGCTACTCAGGAGGCTGAGATGAAAGGATTGCTTGAGCCCAGGAGTTGGAGACCAGCCTGGGCAGTATAGTGAGAATCCATCTCTCCAAAAAAGAAAATTAGCCAAGCATGGTGGCATATGCCTGTAGTCCCAGCTACTTGGGAGGCTGGGGTGGGAGGACTGCTTGAGCCTAGGAGGTCGAGGCTGCAGTGAGCTATTGTTGAACCACTACACTGCAGCCTGAACAGTAGAGTAAAACCCTGTCAAAAAGAAAAAAGGCTTGCCGTGGTGGCTCACACATGTAATCCTAGAACTTTGGGAGGCCAAGGCAGGTGGATCATTTGAGGTCAGGAGTTCGAGATCTGCCTGACCAACATGGTGAAACCCCGTCTCTACTAAAAATATAAAAATTAGGTGAGGTGGCATGTGCCTGTAGTCCCAGCTACTTAGGAGGCTGTGGTACGAGAATCACTTGAACCTGTGGAGGTTGAAATGAGTCAAGATCATGCCACTCCTCTCCGGCCTAGGCGGCAGAGAGACCCTGTCTCAAAAAAAAGAGAGAGAGAGAGAGAGGGAGAGGGAGAGAAAGTTACAGGAAAGTTTGAAATACAGTTCACTCGGTTTGGTTCTGCGCTCATGAGAAGTTTTAAGAGGGAGAGGAGGAAAAACATGAACAAATATGAGTTTTGCCCAAACGCTGTTCACCTAGAACAGCTGGAGAAATACCTTTGTCACACCATGCCTGGTCAGAAGATTGCATGGACACTGTTGACCCCTGACCCTCTGTGCTCTCTGGAGCCATCTTACCTAGCAGTTGTATCTTTCTATGTAATTCAGCCACCTGCGAGTGCATAGAGGGCTTCCCTGCACCTCTGCCGAAGGATCCTGCCTTGGAACGGCCGAGTGTCCAAGCCTGGGTTGCACCCTTTCCTCGGAGATGGCTGGGTTTGCCCAAACTCTTCCTGCCCTTGGAAGAGGGCGTCGAAGCCTGATCCTGAGGAGGCAGGGCGCTGGCGGATGCCGCTCTGCACAGGGGGGACGTCATGATGGGGTCGGGGGCAGAAGGCCCCTAGGAGTTAGGGGGACAACTAGGAGTCAATCGCCCCTGTCAGTGATCGGTCAGCTCGGATTCCCAGGGCTCTGAAAAATGCACTTTCCGACCGCTAGGCGGTTGCTCTCCGTATCTCTCGGTTGCTAGGTAACCGCCTCCTCTTCTCCCTCCAGTGTTTCCATGGAGACTACACGCGTTCCATGGCTGACACTGCGTTCTCATTGGTTGACGGTTCATGGAGGGGCAGTCCCAACAGTGGGCGGAGCAGAGCCCGGCAGCAGGACAGAGGTCAGGACACTTTAGGATCACGTGATCATCCTTTTTCCCCCCCCCCTACCCTCCCCAAAACCTTTTCCCGCCCCCGGGGGTTCGGGGGCATTTTTCAGGAACTTTCTTTCCGTCTGGAGAAGTCGCCACTCCCAAGATGGTGGTACGTTGCGCCGCCATTAAGAGCGAGCCCTCAGAACTCTCCTCCGTAAGGCTTCACAGTCCTGGCCAAGATGGCCGTCTCGGCTCTAGCACCTCCCCCACTCCTGCCACTCCCAACATGGCGACCCTGACTCGCCGTTCCCGGTGCGGGACGAACTACCGGTAGTGACGGCTCCCAGATATTTCCGCTTTCTTTTTGCTGCAGGAACCGTGTCTGCCGAACGAGAGGGGTGCGGTGGATACTGACCTTTGCCCCGGCCTCGTGTAGGTGATGAACGAGCGGGTGGGAGGTCACCTTAATTTCCTACAGGGGGGCAACGGGAGGATGCTTGTGTGGGTGTGGACGGCGGAGACTGTTAACCCTTTCGGCCTGTTGGCGGGAATTGGGCCACAGCTAGGCACAGGGAGCGAGGTTTGGAGATCCTCACCATTGATTTGAGCCAAGTGAGACTGGCTAGGATTAGGGAGATCGCTGCCCTTCGCCCCTATGTGGGAAACAAAGTGAGGCCTCATTGCCTGGAAGCGATGAAGGAATCCAGTTAACTGGAAGTAGCCCTTTCCCACTGATCGGATCCCCTTTCTTGCTGCAGCGTGGCGATACAGCGCATCTCCCCGCTGTCGGCTTCCTTCTACAGAACGGGTTTCGGGCCTGGGAGCCTCTGGTGAAATGCTTCCGCTGCTTCTGCTGCTACCCTTGTGCTGGGCCGTGGAGGTCAAGAGGCCCCGGGGCGTCTCCCTCACCAGTGAGTCCACCTGTTCACCCTCCCGCCAGGCTGGAGGTGGGAGAGGCATTTACAGCCTTTTGCCTCAGTTTCCCGGCAGTGCTCCGCTGGTGGGGGTGGGAGAGCAGAGGTGGTGTTTAGTGGAGAAGGCCCCTTCCTGCCCTCACGTGAGCTTCCTGCACCGTCACAGCTCATCACTTCTACGACGAGTCCAAGCCTTTCACCTGCCTGGACGGTTCAGCTACCATCCCATTCGATCAGGTCAACGATGACTATTGCGACTGCAAGGATGGCTCTGATGAGCCAGGTGAGCTTTTTCTCTGTTCATGCATCAGATATTTATTGAACGCTGCTCAGTGCCGGGCCTGTCTGTGTGACCAAGATCCTCCATGTGCTGGTTCCCCGTTGAGTGGGCAGAAACAAGCCCAGAAGTCAGTGGTCAGTGTTATGGCCCTAGGTAGCTGGAGGAGCCCAGAGTCCTCCTACCCTCAAAGCCTGGGGGTCAGAAAAGCCTCCTCCAAGGAGGTGAGGTTTCAGTCCAATCCCGAAGGTGCTGCAGATGGAGGGGCCAACATGGGCAAACCCCTAGAAGTGGGAGACAGGATGGGGCCAAGAGGAATCCAGGAGGAGACAGAGGTGAAGGGAAACCTTGGTTTTTTGTTTTTGTGTTTTTTGAAGAGACAGGGTCTTGGTCTGTTGTTAAGGCGTGATCATAGCTCTCTGCAGCCTGGCACTCTTGAGCTCAAGTCATCCTCCTGCCTTAGCCTCCCAAACTGCTACAGGTTACAGGTTTGAGCCACCAGGATGAGACCCCCCCCCTTTTTTTTTTTTAGACAGAGTCTTGCTCGGTAGCTCAGGCTGGAGTGCAGTGGCAGGATCTCAGCTCACTGCAACCTCTGCAGTTTCAAGGGATTTTCCTGCCTCAGCCTCCTGAGTAGCTGGGACCAGAGGTGTGCACCACCACACCCAACTAAATTTTTTGTATTTTTAGTAGAGACAGGGTTTCACCATATTGGTCAAGATGGTCTCCATCTCCTGACATCATGATTTACCCGATTCGGTCTCCCGAAGTGCTGGGATTACAGACGTGAGCCACTGTGCCCCGCCTTTTTTTTTTAATTTATTTTTTTTGAGATGGAGTTTTGTTCTTATCACCCAGGCTGGAGTGCAACAGCACTATCTCTGCTCACTGCAACCTCCACCTCCTGGGTTCAAGCAATTCTCCTTCCTCAGCCTCCCAAGTAGCCAGGATTACAGGTGGATGCTACCACGCGTGGCTAATTTCTCATATTTTTAGTAGAGATGGAGTTTCACCATTCGGCTAGTCTGGTGTCAAACTCATGACCTCAGGTGATCCACCCACCTCAGCCTCTCAAAATGCTGGGATTACAGGTGTGAGCCACTGCACCCGGCTGAGACCCTGGTTTTTTTTTTTGAGACAGAGTTTCGCTCTTGTTACCCAGGCTGGTGTGCAATGGCGCAATCTCGGCTCACCGCAACCTCCGCCTCCTGGGTTCAAGCAATTATCCCGCCTCAGCCTCCCGAGTAGCTGGGATTACAGGCACACGCCACCATGCCCAGCTAATTTTTTTGTATTTTTAGTAGAGACGGGGTTTCACCATGTTGACCAGGATGGTCTCCATCTCTTGACCTCGTGATCCACCCGCCTCGGCCTCCCAAAGTGCTGGGATTACAGGCTTGAGCCACCGTTCCCAGCCCAAGACCCTGTTTTGAAGGGCCTCAGTGAGGAGAGGCAGAAGTGCTATCCAGGAGCTTTACTTGAGACCTGGGGGTGCAGTGCACAGCTCTTTCCTTCCCTTGGTCGTTCTGTTTCTTGTACTCTGTGTGTGTAGTGTGGGTCAGGGGCCTTTTTTTTTTGGAGACAGAGTCACATTCTGTCGCCCAGGCTGAAGTGCAGTGGCAGTCTCAGCTCACTGCAACCTCCACATCCTGGGTTCTAACAATTTCCTGCCTCAGCCTCCTGAGTAGCCGGGACTACAGGTGCACGCCGCTACACCCAGCTAATTTTTGTATTTTAGTAGAGTCGGGTTTCACCGTGTGGCCCAGACTGGTCTTGAACTCCTGAGCGCAGGCAATCTACCAGCCTCAGCCTTCCAAAGTGCTAGGATTACAGGCGTGAGCCACCTCGTCCAGCCTGTCAGGGACTCTTGTCTGTGGATGGGTGGGACATGTCTGGCCCTGAGCTGACTCCGAAAACCTTCCCTCCCTTCTTTCTTCCAGGCACGGCTGCCTGTCCTAACGGCAGCTTCCACTGCACCAACACTGGCTATAAGCCCCTGTATATCCCCTCCAACCGCGTCAACGATGGTGTCTGTGGTGAGTGAGGATGCACCAGGATTCAGGAAAGGTGGAGGGAGGGAGGGAGGGAGGGAAGGAGGGAGGAAGGGAGGGAGGGAGGAGGCGCTGCCAGGTCTGACCTCAGCTCCTGCCTCTGCCGCAGACTGCTGCGATGGAACAGACGAGTATAACAGCGGCGTCGTCTGTGAAAACACCTGCAAGTACGTGGGTGACAGTACCCCTCCTGTCACCACACCCCAGGACTTTGCCTGACCCCACCCGATGAATCGGGCCCACTCTTTTTTCTGCTTTTCTGTATTGGGTGCTCCGTTTGTGCCAGGTGCCTTGTGAATTCTAATCGCCACCTTTCCCTCTAGTCTGGAAGCAGGTAGGATTGTTTCCCAGTTCAACAGATGGGGAAACTCAAGTGTAGGAAGGGAAGTGGCTCACGCTTGTAATCCCAGCACTTTGGGAGGCTGAGGCGGGCGGATCACGAGGTCAAGAGTTGAAGACCAGTCTGGCCAACATAGTGAAACCCCTTTTCTACTAAAAATACAAAAAATTGGCCGGGTGTGGTGGTGCACGCCTGTAGTCCCAGCTATTTGGGAGGCTGAGGCAGGAGAATCGCTTGAACTCAGGAGGTGGAGGTTGCAGTGAGCTGAGATCATGCCATTCCACTCTAGCCTGGGCAACAGAGCAAGACTCTGTCTCAAAAAAAAGAAAAAAAACAACAAAAAGGGGAAACGACTTCCCCAGCGTCACATAGGAGATAGCAGAGCTGGCACTGGGACCCTCATTAGCCTAACTTCTGACTCTAAACTTTCCATTGTCACGCTCTGCAGCGGGCCCTGAAAACCTCAACACCCACAGGCAGGTAAAGTATACAACAGGAGGAGGCCAAGGATGAGGCAGTATGGAGAGGTGGGGCTTGTGGCATCTGGAGGAATAGCTGTTCTCGGTTCCTGCCAGCCAAGCCTGTTGTAGTTCATAAGCACCGTGATTTTTATTTATTTGTTTATTCAGTTTTTGAGACAGGTGTCACTCTGTTGCCCAAGCTGGATGGAGTGCAGTGGTGTGATCTTGGCTCACACCCCAAGATCTTCTGGGTTCAAGCAATTCTTATGCCTCAGCTTCCCAAGTAGCTGGAATGACAGGTGTGCCCCACCACGCTTGGCTAACTTTTGTAACCTTTGTATTTTTAGTAGAGATGGGGTTTCACTATGTTGGCCAGGCTGCTTTTGAACGCCTGACCTCAGGTGATCTGCTCACCCCAGCCTCCCAAAGTGCTGAGCCACCATGCCTGGCCACAATGATTAGGATTTTATGCACATGTGAGAGCTGTGCCTCTCTTAAACCGTGTTATGACCTTTGCATATTACCTGTCTGACATGACAAAGTACAAATAAACTGGGCTCTTTGTGGCTCATGCCTGTATTCCCACCACTTTGGGAGGCTCAGGAAGGAGGATCGCTTGAGTTCAGGAGTTTGAGACCACCCTGGGCAAAATAGCCAGACCCCTTGTCTATAAAAGTAAAAATAAAAATTGGAAATTATAATTTAAAAAATTACTGGCGGGCCATGTGGCTTACACCTATATTCCCAGCAGTTCATGAGGCTGACACAAGAGGATCACTTGAACCCAGGAGTTCGAGACCAGGCTGGGCAACATAGTGAGACCCTGCCTCTCCAAAAATTTTTTTAAAAATTATCCAGGTGTGGTGGTTTGTGCCTGTAGACCCAGCTATTCAGGAGGCTGAGGAAGGAGGATTGCTTCAGTGTGGGAAGCAGAGGTTGCAGTGAGCTAAAAAGTTAAAAAAACAAAACTAAGTCCAGTCAGTTGTTGGCAGGTGGCATGGCTGGAATAGTGTTTCAAAGAAGTTCAAGGTCCCAATACTTATGTAAACTCTCCAGATTCCACATCTTTTAAGTAGAAGGTGGATTGAACACAACCAACACACTTTTTTTTTAGACAATGTCTCGCTCTATCACCCAGGCTAAAGTGCAATGGCACAATCTTGGCTCACTGCAACCTCCCCCTCTGGTTTCAAGTGATTCTTCTGTCTCAGCCTCCCAAATAGCTGGGATTATAAGTGCCTGTTACCACAACCAGCTAATTTTTGTATTTTTAGTAGAGACGGGATTTCACCATGTTGGCCAGGCTGGTCTCGAACTCCCAGCCTCTGGTTATCCACCCTCCTCGGCCTCCCAAAGTGCTGGGATTACAGGTGTGAGCCACTGTGCCCAGCCAACCAACACATTTAATAATTGGATTGTCTTTTTGCCTGGGAGTCGTGATTTCTGTTATTTCCGTCTTCTCCGGTTGTTTGTTTGTTTTAATTATGAGTAAAGACAGGGACTTTACATGTTGCCCAGGCTGATTGTGAACTCATGGGCTCACATGATGCTCCTGCCTGCCTTGGCCTTTCAGAGTGCTGGGATTACAGGCATGAGCCATTGCACACAAGCTAGTCTCCTGGCTCTTGAGAGTTCATATCTAGCTCCACCTCCCAGTACTCCCTAGTCCCTTCCCTGACCCCAGGGCCCTACAGATCCCACTGTCCCTCTTTCAAGAACAGGCGTGAAGAATGCTGCTGTTGAGAGGGCCTGGGAGGCTGGGAGGAGGGTTTGTTCCCTTATCTTTCCCAGCATGGCTTGGTGGGGCCCACAGGTGGATTGAGCTATTTTGGAAGAGGCAGACTGGGTGGACCCTAAGTGCCCCACTGGTGGTGCTTGTGTGTCCCCTCCACTGCAGAGAGAAGGGCCGTAAGGAGAGAGAGTCACTGCAGCAGATGGCCGAGGTCACCCGAGAAGGGTTCCGCCTGAAGAAGATCCTTATTGAGGACTGGAAGAAGGCACGGGAGGAGAAGGAGGTAAGGAGCCTGCGGGGGCTGCCCCACGGGGATCTGAGCCTTGAGGCTTTGTAGCATGGGCCTGCAAGGCCGGGGTGGGGTTTGCCCCTGACTCCTGCCCTGGGGCAAGTGACTGCCTGCCTGCACTTTGCTTTCACAGTTGTGGGCTAGGCATTTAGTTATTGGTTAAGTATAATAGTTTCCAAGCGGGAGGCAGTCAGCTTAGGTACTTGTCAGGGCTGTTAGAGACAGAATACTTGTTCCCAGGTACTGCAAGGAAAAATTATCATTCAGACAGAAAGTTCTCTCAGCAAGACAATTTTACTTTCTGCAGAAAGGGTGCTCCTGTTAGCCATCTTACCACAAGAGTTCAATGAAAAAGGAAAGGCAGGTATATTTATTATTGGGTCCTCACTGCTGTCTGATCTCCATTGGTTGGAGCTGGACCTCACAACCTAAACTAAAACCCGACTGGCTAACAACTTAAAACTTTACTTAAAATAGGTAAAGGCAATGGAGAACAAAGGAAAAGAGGCAGTCCAAATAAGGAAGGGGCATATGCTGCGAGCTGGGACACGCCTGTGAGCACGTCCCGCATGGTTAAAGTACAAGGGCATAGCATGTACTGTGTGCCTGTGAGCATGTCTAATGGCTGCATAGGATAAAGCTTAACAAAGAGTTATTAGCAAAAAGCAAGAAGGCTTTGAAGACAGTCTTTAAAGCAAACTTTTATTTCTAACATTAATTATTATTACTGTTTAACAAAAAGGAAAATTTTGAAGAGGAACTTTTTATTTTTTGCAAGGGCCTTGGGCATCAGACTAAGCAGCCTAGAAGGGCCATACTGCCTCCTGGGGATGGGAGGGTGGCTTCTCCATATCCCGGTGTGTGGTCCCCTTACCTGTAAGATGGGCTGATGACAAGATGACTCCCCAGTTCTGACCTTGACAAGATAATATCAGCCAGTAGAAGCTGGATTAATTCCATAGGGTGGGTGCTTTGGGGTCCCTAGGCATGTGTCTCTCCCTACCTTGCCTGTGTACTGGACAGGAGGCTAAAACTGATCTGGATCTACCTCAAGGGATTCATTGCTAGTGGGAGGGACAGACAACCAGGGCTGCTGGGCAAAGGGGAATTTGGGGTAGAGGCTCTTGCCAAGTACCTCTCTCTCTCTTGGCTTGAGGGCAGGAGACAAGGAAGGCTTCTTGGAGGAGGAGGCCTCTATCTCAAGTGAGATCTGTTGGGTAATTTGGAGTTAGGAAGAGTGTACCAGGCTGAAGGAACAGCATGTTTGAAGAACCAGAGCCAGAAGAGTGTTTGGGGGTCTGAATGTTGTCAGGGCAACTGGATCCTAGTAAGACAGGGATGCAGTAGATGGGGCTGAGAATCAGGCAGGGGCCTGATTGCGTGGGGCCCTATGGGCTACATTGAGGCATTTGGGCTTCTCCCCAGAGGGCTACAGGGAACCCCACCTAGGGAGAGAGACCCAGTTTGGTGTGTGTTTGGAACATCCCCTTGCTGCCCTGTGGAGTAGAGGTAGGGAGGTATTAGTCAGTGAGGAGGAGGCAGAAGAGAGGAGAGCTGGTCTTGACCTCTGCCCACCAGAAAAAGCTCATTGAGCTACAGGCTGGGAAGAAGTCTCTGGAAGATCAGGTGGAGATGCTGCGGACAGTGAAGGAGGAAGCCGAGAAGCCAGAGAAAGAGGCCAAAGAGCAGCACCAGAAGCTGTGGGAAGGTATGGCATAAGGCAGTCCCAGGACCCACCTGCAGTTCCTGGGTGGGAGGGGGTCTGGGCCCAGGAGTCTCTTGCTCATCATCTGTTGTCAGTTTCAGCAGATTTTTGATCATGGTGCCAATTTCCTTGTGTGCCTGCTTATCTTTGATTGTGTGGTGGTCATCATGCTTGAAAATTATTTATAGAAATAATTATAAAAAATTGTTTCTATAAATAATTTGCTATAATTACTTATAATTATTTCTATAAATAATTTTCAACCTAGGAAGAGAAGGTGTTCTCTAGAGAGAATCTTCTTTTCTTTCTGGCAGTGTTCAGGAACACTGCCATTCAGCAATCCCCCAAATGCAAATGCAAGGTTTGAGGTTCCTCCAACCTTCAGCAGTGTGTGAACTGAGATAGACACACGGGTTGGTTGTTTCTGATCCAGCCTGTCGCTGAGGAGATAGCCCCCTGAGGTTGTTGGAGTGATCTTTTAGTCTCCCTCACGTTGGACTTATTTTGAGACAGTTTTGCTCTGTTGCCCAGGCTGGAGTGCAGTGATGCAATCTTGGCTCACTGCAACCTCCCCCTCCCGGGTTCAAGCAATTCTCCTACCTCAGCCTCTCAAGGAGCTGGGATTACAGGTGCACACCACCACACCCAGCTAATTTTTTTGTATTTTTAGTAGAGATCAGGTTTCACCATGTTGGCCAGGCTGGTCTCAAACTTCTGACCTCAGGTGATCCTCCTGCCTTGGCCTCCCAAAATGCTGGAATTACAGGTGTGAGCTATCACACCTGGTTGCTAATTTTTAAATTTCTGTAGAGATGGGGTTTCTCCATGTTGCCTAGGCTGGTCTCAAACTCCTGGGCTCAAGTGATCCTCCCACTTCAGCAGTGGCACCATCTCAGCTCACTGCAACCTCCACCTCCTGGGTTCAAGCGATCCTCCTGCCTCAGCCTCCCGCGTAGCTGAGATGACAGGCATATGCCACTACTCCTGGCTAATTTTGTATTTTTAGTAGAGACGGGGTTTCTCCATGTTGGTCAGACTGGTCTTGAACTCCTGACCTCAGGAGGCTGACCACCATCTCAGCCTCCCAGAGTTCTGGGATTATAGGTGTGAGCCATGGTGTCCAACCCCATATCTGGTTTTAAGAAACAGCAAGGCCATGTGGCTGGAGGGAGTAAGGTAAGAGAGTTGGGAGAGACAAGGGCAGGATGCTGGTAGGGCAGGTCATTTGGGGCCTTGGAGGCCACAGAGAGGACTCAGGCTTTTACTGTTAGTGAGATGGGAGCCATGGAGGGTTCTGAGCAGAGGTGAGATGTGTCCTGGCTTAGGTGCTCACAGTCTCCTGGTCACTGTGGGAGTTAGAGATGGGAGGAGCTGACAGCACTGGTCCAGGCCTGCAAGGATGGGGCAGGGACCAGGATGGGCCGTGCATCCAGGTGGGTTGTTGATGTATCTTGAAGGTGCCCTGATGATGTCTGCCTCTACCTCTCCCAGCCCTAGTGCTGTGTTCTTTGACCCAGTGAATACAGAGGCTCCTGCCAGACGTGGTGGTTCATGCCTGTAATCCCAGCACGTTGGGAGGCCAAGATGGGTGGATCCTGAGGTCAGGAGTTCGAGACCAGCTGGGCCAACATGGTGAAGCCCTGTCTCTACTAAAAATACCAAAAAAGTTAGCTAGGTGTGGTGGCACATGCCTGTAATCCCAGGTACCAGGGAGGCTGAGGTGGGAGAATTGCTTGAACCCGGGAGGTGGAGGCTCCAGTGAGCTGAGATTGTGCCAGAGGCTCCCAGTGGCCCACTTGGGCGGGGTACCTGTGCAGACCCCTTCTCCTTCCTGCCTCAATGGAGGCTGTTTCCTCCCCCAGGTCCTGGCTTTCACTCTGTCCTGCCCCTTGGAGACCTGGGGCCTTCAGTTAGCTCTGGCTGGCACTTTCCTTCTGCCTGTAAGCGTGCCAAGGCTCCTCTGAGGCAGGAGAATCATTTGAACCCTGGAGGTGGAGCTTGCGGTGAGCTGAGATCGCACCATTGCACTCCAGCCTGGGCAAGGAGAGCAAAACTCTGGCTCAAAAAAAAAAAAACGTTTTTTCTATTTGGGGTTTGGCCTTTTGTCTGCAACTAAAGATTTATTTATTTATTTATTTGTCTTTTTCTTCTGTTTTTTTTTTTTTTTTGAGATGGAGTCTCGCTCTTCTTACCCAGGCTGGAGTGCAATGGTGCAATCTCTGCTCACTGCAACCTCCGCCTCCCACATTCAAGCCATTATCCTGCCTCAGCCTCCCAAGTAGCTGGGATTACAGACACCTGCCACCACACCTGACTAATGTTTGTATTTTTAGTAGAGAAGGGGTTTCACCATGTTGGTCAGGCTGGTCTCAATCTCCTGACCTCAGGTGGCCTGCCTCAGCCTCCAAAGTGCTGGGTTTATAGGTGGGATGTCTGTCACTGAAGATATTCTTTCCCTTTTTTATTTGTTTTTGGTGCTAGGGCCTGGTGCTTTTTTCGCAAGCCCTCATTGTTTGTAGACAGGGAATTCACTGTCTGGCTTTCTGCCCCTGAACCTCTGCCCTGCTGCAAGGTTCTTTTCATGTGGGTCTGGACAAGCTCGGGCCTGATTTCCCTTAGGATGTTTTCTTGTGGGGAGCTGCGGAATCAGAGGGAAGCACCATGTTTTGACCCAGATTCCCAAAGGGTGGCAGGGCTGAGCCTGGGCTCTTGGGGCAGTTGGCCTGGCATGGGCTCCAGGCTACACCCCTCACTGGCTGGGTGATTATGGGCAGATCCCTTCACCCACGCAAACTGAGGAACCCCTCAGGCTCTCATCTGTGAGGCTCACAACAGTGTCAGCTGGGTCTTTTGGGACACATGGGATCTCCTAGGGTGACCTAAGTCTCTCTAGAGGAATTACTGGCTGTTTTTATTGTTGGTGGAGGACCAAGCTGGGGCTTGGGATACAGTGTGAAGTTGGAGCAGCTGTTGTGGCTGCTTCCCCTCCACTTTGCCTGGGTGGAGTAGTGGCAGAGGAGGGACTTTTGGGACAGAAGCTCAGTCCCATTGTGTCCGGCTGGCCCCTCTTCCTGGGACGCCCCTGGGGCCGGTCTCCCTCCCTCCGTCCTCCCCATCTCCCAGCTTCCTTGGCCCAACACACCTCTGCCAGGTCCTAAACCGAAAGTCTCAGCGGCCGATCTCCTCTCCCCCACCCCATCTCCTACCTCGTCTCCCCAGAATTTGCCTCTGCTCCATGCTTCTTCCTCAGCCCCCAGCCTGGGCCAGCCCTTGTTGTCACCTGGCTCCTGCCCTCGCCCCCACCTCTGTCCCAACAGTGGCCTGACGTGCCGCCCTCTGCTACCTGGCTTCCCATGCCCCCGCTCCAGCCCTGAGGTGGCCCTCCTGCCCCTGCACCCTTCCCTGCCCATCACACCCAACACAAGCAGCCTTACTCATTCATCTTGCTTGTTTGTCCTCCCCCAGGGAGGGTGGGGACCGTTGTCTCCTCCACAGTCATGTCCCCAGGGTCCCTTGTGGGGCCAGGCACACAGTAGGTGCTCGGTGGCAAATGACTATGTGGGGTGCTGGGGATGGTGGAATCCGGCGGGTGTGCAGGGGTGATAGAGGCAGCCTCTTTACAGAGCAGCTGGCTGCTGCCAAAGCCCAGCGGGAGCAGGAGCTGGCGGCCGATGCCTTCCAGGAGCTGGATGACGACATGGATGGGATGTGAGTGTCCCTGTACTGGAGCTGCCCGCCTTTCTGTGGGCCTGGGTTTCCCTCCCCACCACTCTTACCTTTAGAAACAGCGAGAGCCCCCCTGGGTTCCCTCGGCCTGGGGTCCAGGCTGATCCCAAGCCCTGTGTGACCCTGCCTGTCTTACTCATGGATGGCGGGGTCCAGAAGGCCCTGGGCCAGGAGACAGGGGGACCACCCTCTCTCCAGGAGCTTTGCACAGACCCTCAGCCTGAGGAAGTGTGGCTCGGGATCCTAGCAATCAGATTGCTTTTCCCAGGCTCACTCTGGGTTCAAATCCTGGCTGTACCTCTGAACTTACTGCGTTACCTGGTGGAGGGTGGACTTTTGGGGGCCAAGGGAGACACGGGGAGCCTAGAAGATGTGGGGAGCCAAGGAGCAGGGGGCTTCAGCGGAACGAGCAGCATGGGCAAAGGTGAGGGTGGGCTTCGCTGGGTGGGGGACCTGCTCCTGCGGGTGGAAGGAGGTGGCTCATGGGTGAGTTGGGAAAGAGGTCATTGGGAATTTGGGGGTCCAGGTGTCTCCCAGTCCCACCCCTTACTCTGAGCCTCTTTGGGGATATGGAGTCCTGAGGAGGGGGCTGGAGGTCAGGGACTCCCTGCACCTTGAGATCCTGAAGCAAGTTCCAGGGTGGCACCTTGGTGGGGAGGAACGGGTGAGCCACATGGGCCTCACCCCTTTAGTCTGCTTCTGCCACACCCTGCAGGGTCTCACTCACCGAGCTGCAGACTCACCCGGAGCTGGACACGGATGGGGACGGGGCGTTGTCAGAAGCGGAAGCTCAGGTACCCTGGCTGACCCTTGGCTGGGGACTTGTAGGTAGCGTTGCCCCAGGGTGACCTCAGGGCACAGGAGGGGGACTGAGGAAAGCTCCCTGCTGACCTGGGATGCCTCCTCTGGGTGAACCCAGATGGCAGTCACCAAGGGCGGCTTCCCACCTGGTGGGACCCAGCCCCCACTCTCCCTGCTGTGTGGGCACCGAGTCCCCTTCCTCCCCCTTCACACCCCTGCACTATTTCTCTCCTTCGACACCCTCCTCTTCCCCATCCACCGCCCCCCATCCCTGTGGCCCCTGGTTTCTGGCTCCCTTTCTCTGCCCAGCCCTGGTTTCTGGCTTCCCTTCTCTGTCCAGCCCTAGTTTCTCCCATCCCATTGCAGCCTTGACCTTGGCCTTGGCCTCTCCCTCGGAGGGTCTGGCCCTCTCTGGTCCTGAACTCTCTCCTCCCTCCATCTGTCTGTCTGTCCATCTGCCACTTTGTCTTTCTGTCTCAGTGACCCCAGCCACTCCAGCCTCTGGCCCCCTCCTCCCACGGGCCTGTGCTGCCCTCTCCTGGCCTAAGTGCCTCACTGGCCTGGCCCAGGCCTGGTCATCAGGGCCCAGCCTGCCTGTGCCTGGCACTGCAGCCCGGGTGCCTGGGGTGGCCCGGGAGGGGGCATGTGGCAGCTAAGATCTTGACACCACCCCCAACACACACAGGCCCTCCTCAGTGGGGACATTCAGACAGATGCCACCTCTTTCTACGACCGAGTCTGGGCCGCCATCAGGGACAAGTACCGGTCTGAGGTCAGTCGGGGGGGAAGAGAAGGGACTTGGTCCTCTCACCCAACCCCCAACCCTCCTCACAAAGGAGCTGCAGCCAGTTCTGGCATCTGGCCACCCTGGCCAGCTGGGTGGCCCCAGCATCCCCCACTGAGGCCCCCCCCACCCCAGCTGTCAGTCTTCCCTGCAGGACCTGAAGGAGGGGCAGACACCAAGGCTGCCCCTTGGGCCTTGAGTGGTGTGAGCCTGAGGGTGTGTGTAGGTGGACCCCGAGTCCACAGCATTGACCACCCCACTTTCCTGCCAGGCACTACCCACTGACCTTCCAGCACCTTCTGCCCCCGACTTGATGGAGCCCAAGGAGGAGCAGCCGCCAGTGCCCTCACCGCCCACAGAGGAGGAGGAGGAGGAGGATGAGGAGGACGAGGAGGCAGAAGCGGAGGAGGAGGAGGAGGAGGAGGAGGGTTCCGAGGTGCAGGGGGAGCAGCCTAAGGTCTGTGTTTGGGGGAGAAGTGGGGACAGAGAGGGTAGGGGGAGCTGCTCACTGACCTTGCCCCTTCCCCAGGAGGCCCCCCCGCCACTGGCCCCACCACAGCCGGCCAGCCCCTCGGAGGAAGACAAAATGCCGCCATACGATGAGCAGACTCAGGCCTTCATCGACGGTGAGTGTGGGCAGGGGGGTGCCTAGCTCCTCGGGTGGGCCCAGCATTTGGGGAAAGATCCTGAACTTGGTCCCTGCTCTGACGCGGCTAGCACAAGCCCCAGTATCTTGGGGAGTCGGGGAAGGGGGCCTGGGGTAAGCCAGCCCCACCCTCACCAGCCTCAAGGGGCCCCTCTACCTCCCTAGGGACGGCAACTTGTTTGTGTCATTTGTGCAAGGCGGGGCTGCCCTGCAGATGGCGAGGTGTCGGGGCTGTCTGGGCGAAATCCTTGGCCGGCGCATAACCAGGGTACAGGAGGACACAGCCACTTCGTGGAGTCCTGCTCCCCATCCTCCTGAACGGGAGTGAGGACATCTCTGACCTCTCCCCTCTCCCCTCAGCTGCCCAGGAGGCCCGAAACAAGTTCGAGGAGGCCGAGCGGTCCCTGAAGGACATGGAGGAGTCCATCAGGTACAGGGGGCTGAGGAGGTGGGGACACCTGTCCCACAGCGCCCAGGGCCTGGTTCCCAGGGGAGCCGGTGACAGGAATCAACGAGGCAGCTGAAGGGAGGGTCCCCGGGAGGTGGCAGGGAGGACAGCCCATCCTCTACGGCTCAGTCAGGCCCTCCTGTGTCTGTTGTGTTGGGTCAGGCACCGTTGTTCCCAGCTGTCCCTGAACCATTCTGCCCCCCCTTCCAGGAACCTGGAGCAGGAGATTTCCTTTGACTTTGGTCCCGATGGGGAGTTTGCCTACCTGTACAGCCAGTGCTACGAGCTCACCACCACCGAGTACGTCCCAGGGGTTCAGGGGCCCCGGAAGGGGCACCAGCGGAGTTTCCTGATGGTTGGGAACCATCTGCAGGGTGGGGGGCCCTCCACACTGACGGGTAGTGGAAGCCAGGGGGCAGGCTTAGGGTTGGTCATTGCAATTTGAGGTACCCTGTGCGTGGGGACAGGAGGAGGCAGGGAGGGGCTGTGGGGAGGAGGCTGGGATCCCTATGTCCCCACCCTATGTGCCTGGTCCTCCACAGATATGTCTACCGCCTCTGCCCCTTCAAGCTTGTCTCGCAGAAACCCAAACTCGGGGGCTCTCCCACCAGCCTCGGGTGAGTGGCTTGGGCTGGCCCCATCCTGCTGCCTGCTTCTGGTGTCCTGACCCCCACCCAGCCCTTAGCACCGTGTCTCTTGCAGTACCTGGGGCTCGTGGGCTGGCCCGGACCACGACAAGTTCAGTGCCATGAAGTACGAGCAAGGCACGGGCTGCTGGCAGGGCCCCAACCGCTCCACCACTGTGAGTGCTTGTGGGGTGGGGGGCGGGGCTCGGAGACCCAGGCCTGGCCCAGCCCAACCCTCTTGAGCATCTGTGTGCCCATCCCCAGGTGCGCCTCCTATGCGGAAAGGAGACCATGGTGACCAGCACCACCGAGCCCAGCCGCTGCGAGTACCTCATGGAGCTGATGACGCCGGCCGCCTGCCCGGAGCCCCCGCCTGAAGCACCCACAGAGGGCGACCATGATGAGCTCTAGCTGGCTAGGCACAGAGGTGGGCGGGGAGGTGGCGTCTCGGGCTGCCCCAGTGAGGGGAGGCAGCAGGTCCTGAGGAAGATGGACCCACATGGCCGCTCTGTCAACCTGTGTCCCCTGTTTTTTTGTGTTTTTTTTTTCTGAGGCAGAGTCTCACTCTGTTGCCCAGGCTGGAATGCAGTGGTGCGATCTTGGCTCACTGTAACCCTTGGTTCCCAGGTTACAGGCACAAACCACCGCCCCCAGCTAATTTTTGTATTTTTAGTAGAGATAGGGTTTTGCCATGTTGGCCAGGCTGGTCTCAAATTCCTGACCTCAGGTGATCCGCCCACCTCAGCCTCCCAAAGTGCAGGGAATACAGGCGGGAGCCACCGCGCTTGGCCACCCCCGTTTAAAAAAAAAAAAAATTATTATTATTTTTTTACTTTTGAAAATAAATAGACCAGGTGTGGTGGCTCACACCTGTAATCCCAGCACTTTGGGAAGCCGAGGCTGGCCAATTTACTTGAGGTCAGGAGTTTGAGACCAGCCTGGCCAACATGGCGAAAACTTGTCTCTACTAAAAATACAAAAAATTAGCTGGGTGTGGTAGCAGGTGCCTGTAGTCCCAGCTACTGGGGAGGCTGAAGCACAAGAATTGCTTGAATCTGGGAGGTTGAGGTTGGAGTGAGCCAAGATCATGCCACTGCACTCCAGCCTAGGTGACAGAGCGAGACTTGCTCTCAAAAAAAAATAGAAAAGGTCTCCAGGCTGGTCAACTCCTGGCCTCAAGTGATCCTCCCACCTCAGCCTCGCAGGCAGCTGGGACTACAAGCAAATGTGACCATGCCCAGCTGTCCCCAGCTTTCTAATCTGGTCTTTCTCCTGCCCCAGAACCTCAAGAACGTTGTGAAAGCAGCCCCTGCAGTGCCGTCCACCCACCCCTCCTAGGCCTGCCTGTGGCTCTGTCGCCCTCTTCTATGGGTAACAGGACCTAAATGGGGCTTCCTGCCCTGCTCTGAGGCCCAGGCAGAGATGGTCCATATTCCTAGTCCCAGCGGCCTCCAAAGATAGGATAAAGGAGCTTGCCCTCCCTGGGCCCCCCAACCATACCCAGCCCTGCCCCTGCCTCCCCTCCTGTTGGGGACCAGTGAATGACTTGACCTGTGACATCAATACAATAAATGTGATTCCCCCACCCAAACCTGCCTGTGTCCGACTGGATTTGCTGGGAATGGACCAGGGCGGGGGCGGGCAGGGGTAAGCGAGGGACGCAGCTGTCTGCAGATCCCACCCGGGCCTCCCCATCATCCAGGGATCACACTGGAAGATAATAGGTGGATGAACCCTGGACCACTTCTGTCTGAGCATCCATCCGGGCCCCTGTCCCACCCTCCCTGGGTCTCACCCGTGCTCTGGAGGCCATGGGTTCCCTCCTGGGTCCACAGCTCCTGCTGCAGATGCACCCTGGCCCAGAGAGGGACAGAAGCCTGGGTGCCGTCACACAGCATATTCCTGCGTATACCCGCACACCTGTGCAGAGATGACCCAAGGCCTTAAGATTCTGAACTTTTATTTTCTGGCATGAAAAGTACAAATAATTAAACAATTCCATGTAAAAGTCTGTTGCCGCGGCCAGGCCTGTAATCCCGGTAATAAATAGTCTAAACGCAACGCAAAGTGTTCCTGTTGGGTTTTTTTTTTTTTTTTGTCTTTCGTTTTGTCTTTTTTTTTTGGTTTTTTTTTTTTTTAACAGTTCTTTATCACCTCCAACATGGACTCTGTCGTGATTTGAAACCTTCCAAATAAATAACAGGATGAAGGGAGGGGTGGAGGGCTGAGCCCCCTCCCCCTGGCCTGGCCCCTGCCCCCCAGGGATGTGGAAGACCCCGGGCCCCCTCCCCTTGGAGCCCTGGCCTGGCCCCCCTGGGGGAAGGGGCTGGCCTCCAGGGAGGGGGCCTAGCTGGGCTGAGTTTTGTGTTTTAGAAAAAGAAGTCCCCTCCCAGTCTTGGGGAGTGGCAGGGACCTAGGCCTTGGTGGGGGGGTGTGGGGAGGTGCCCCCTCTCTGGAGCCTGGCCCCCCCAGGGTGGGGACAAACCCAGCCCTTATTGCTCAGACGCCCTGCTGCAAGCTTCCCACGCGCACACGCGTGTTCCCGAATGCAGAGGGCGGAGGGGAGAGAGCCCCAAGAGACAGCAGGGGAGAGGGGTCCCTGCCCTGCTGGCGGGGAGAGAGGGGAGAGGGCAGGGAGGACTTAAAACCACAAGAATAAATAGGTTCATGTATCAAGAACAAGCTAGGGATTTCACCAGCTAAATAGGACTGAAAAAATTCTCAAGACAAGAGCAAAAAGAATCCCACTGATGACCTGGACGTCGCTGGCCGTGCTGACTGCCCGGAAGAGCACACGCCCCCGGGTGCCACTCGGCTACCATCACTGTTATTAATAATTATTATTACTTTAATGATTCCACTTCCCCTTTTATAAATAAATTAGGCATAACCATGTCTCAGCAAAACTTAAAGAAACAAAGAGAACATTGTCGTTCCTTTAACTTGAGAAGTAACAGAAATATACACGGATGTCCTCACAGGGCAACGAGGAGAATAAATAGTTAACAGAGCAATAAGTTAAAACTACGAGAAGCTAAATTCGGCAAAAAAGTACAAGAAAGTTAACTGGTGCCAGTTTATGTCTTTTTTTTTTTCCTTTTTTTTTTTTTTTAAATCTCTTCTGTGTGTTTTCTTTTTTTGTTGCTTTTTTTCTCTTCTGTTTGTGTTTTTTTGTCACTTTTTTGATTTTTTTTCTTTTTTGTTCCTTGCAGCAGAAGCTCCACAGACGTTTAATAACAACACTGGGAGGGGTGGGGGAGAGAGAGCTGGACAGTCAGATGGGGGGCGCCATAGCCAGACACCAAACGTGGGGACACCGGGGGAAGGCAACTTAACTATAGCTAAAGTCGGGGTTTTGCAATTCTCAGTTCCGACGGGGCCGCTGAGGGGGCTGGGGAGCGGTGCGAGGGCTCCCAGGGGCCCCGGCCTGTGGCTTCCGTTGGAATTTTTTTTTTTTTAAAGAAAGAAAACTAGGGCGATGCAACATCCAGACAGAAGCCGGGGGCCGGGGCTCAAGATCGGGGGCTGTGTTCACTGCAATCTGGAAAGACGAAAAACCCAACAAACCGAAAGAGGGTAGGTAGCTGACAAGTGGACGGGAAAGGAGTGCGGGGCCAAGCCCTTGGGCCAGTCCGCCCCACCCTGGGCCTGGCGGGGAATGCCGGGGGCGGGCTGTGGGGCGGGGGCTTGCTGCTGGGGAGGCTCAGGACTGGGCCTCCCCCTCAGCTGCATGGGCCAAGGCCTCGGCGCAGGGGGAGGCTGAGCCCCGGAGACAGGGATGTCCTTTGGCCTCAAGTGTTGTGTGGGGGGGGGGCTGCCTCCAGCCCACCGTGATGCCAAGGTGGAACGAGGTATCGTGTGTCTCAATGCATGTGCGCTGTGTGTGCACGCCTGTGTTCGTGGGCGCCAACGAGACCCTGGGGGTCCAGGAGAGATCTCTGCAGAGAACAGGGCGGGGGGGGCCAGGGCATGGGGGGCCTGGAAGGCGAGGGAGTGTCTGGGGCGGGGGTCTGGGGTGGGACCTCCTGCCTGGGCCTATGGGATGCTATGGGCATGTGTCTGCGTGTTCCTGGATGGTGTTTGTGTTTCTCCGTGACTGAGTGTCCAGATCCCATGTCCAAATATTTATCGCTACATTCACGTGGGCACATGGACAGGCAGACGAATTCGTGTGCCCACATCTGTGGTCCGTGTCCACGTGGACGTAGCCCTAATCTCTATCTCCTCCTATCCCTGTCCACGCGTCTGAGTTTGGCCAACCAGTCCCTTCACCCGTCCGGGGCGTGCCGCTCTGTCTGTCTGTGTCTGTCGGTGTGTCCCCGTGGTGTGAGTGTCTGCGTGGGTGTTTCTGTGTGGCCCCTAGGGCTGCCAGCCCCTAAGCCCCACTCCCTGGCCCCCCTATCCCCGCCCCAGTTGGTAAACATAACCTGCCAAAATATTTTCTTTTTTTTTTTTTTGTCTTTTTTTGTGTTTTTTTTTTCAAGTTCAAGAATCCCCAGTAAAAATTCTCCACGAGGTCTTTTTCCCTTTTTACAAAAATAGAGTTTTTCTTCCCCTCCCACCCCCCCCTTTTTTTTTCATTTTGTTTCTGCTTCCAGCCCCACTGCCTGATCCCCGCATTCCACCAGGGGGCACTCGGCCGGGGGTGCCCACACCCCTCCTCACGGTTTGCTTTTTTGGGGATTTTTAAACCTGTTCCTCCTACCCCAGGCCCCACCTAGGTGCTGGGGAGGCCTGGGCGAGGGGATCTGGGAGGGGCACCCCCTGGAGCCCCCCAAGCCATCCCGTCAGGGGTGGTCGAGGGTGGGGGTAGGGGCACATCTCTGCATTCTTTTTAGCCGAAAAAAGAAACAAAAACCTTCGCCATGAACCAAACCAAGACGAGAGAGTGAACAGCCCAGCCTGGGGTGGGGGCAAGGAGGATGGGGCGGGGGACCCCGGGCACCTCCCCTCCACTCCCTGCAGACCCTCCCACCCCCCCGAGTGCTTGCCCTGTGGCTTCCGCAGGGATGTGGGGCCCTCGCATCGTCTGTGGGGCTGCCTGTGCTGTCTCTCTTGGGCCCCTTCTCTCTCTCTCTCTCTCTCTCTCTCTCTCTCTCTCTCTCTCTCTCTCACTCTCTCTCTCTCTCTCTCTCTCTCTCTCTCTGCTGCCCGGGGAGGGGGTGGGAGGGCAGGCGGGGTGGGCTCAGGCCTTGTGCTGTTTGCTGGTCTTGAAAGAGACCTGCAGCACGCGCTCTCCCAGGCGATAGCCATTCAGGCTGGCGATGGCCATGGCTGCCTCGTCATAGTTGGTCATGGTCACGAAGCCGAAACCCTTGCACTTGTTGGTGGTGAAGTCGCGGATGACCTTGACATTGGTGACTGCCCCAAAGGGCCCAAACAGCTGCCACAGCACGCTCTCGTCCGCCTCAGGAGACAGGTTGTACACGAAGATGCACCAGCCAGCACCTGCCGCGCCCCCTGACAGGCCCACGCCCGCCAGGCCACTCATGCCATCGATGGCGATTGGGGAGAACCTGGCGATGAGCGACAGGGGACTACTTTGGGGGTCACGCGGGCTCTGCCCTGACCCCCCGCATGCTTCCGACCCTGCTGTGGCCCCTCACACCTTTATGACCCCTGACTGCCATGACCTTGGAATGGTGTGACCCCTGCAATACAATTTCTTTTTTTAAGAGACAGGGTCTTGCTCTATCACCCAGGCTGGAGTGCAGTGGTGCAATCATGGCTCACTGCAGCCTTGACCTCCTGGGCTGAAGCAATTCTCCTGCCTCAGCCTCCTGAGTAGCTGGGACTACAGGCAAATGTCCCTCACACCCAGCTAATTTTTTTTTTTAAGACGGAGTCTCGAGCTCTGTCACCCACGCTGGAGTGCAGTGGCACGATCTCGGCTCGCTGCAACCTCCACCTCCCGAGTTCAAGCAATTCTCCTGCCTCAGCCACCACACCCAGCTAATTTTTGTATTTTTTAGTAGAGATGGGGTCTCACTGCACTGGTCAGGCTGGTCTCGAACTCCTGACCTCAGGTGATCTACCCACCTCAGCCTCCCAAAGTGCTGGGATTACAGGTGTGAACCACCGTGCCCAGCCATATTTTTTCATTTTTGGAAACAAGGTCTCTATCACCCAGGCTGGAGTGCAGTGGCACCATGACAGTTCACTACAGCCTCTAACTCCTGGGCTCAAGCAATCCTCCCACTTCAGCCTCCTGAGTAGCTGGAACTATAGGCCTATGCCACCACACCAGGCCAATTCCTTTTTTTTTTTCTTTTTAAAACAGAGTCTGGCTCTGTCACCGAGGCTGGAGTGCAGTGTCGAGATCTCAGCTCACTGCAACCTCTGCCCCCTGTGTTCAAGCGATTCTCCTGCCTCAGCCTCCCGAGTAGCTGGGATTTACAGGTGCCTGACACTGTGCCTAGCTAATTTTTGTATTTTTAGTAGAGACGGGGTTTTAACATCTTAACCAGGGTGGTCTTGAACTCCTGACCTCTTGATCCACCCACCTTGGCCTCCCAAAGTGCTGGGATTACAGGCGTGCGCCACCGTGCCCGGCTGCGGCCGTAATTCTTTAAAAAAATTTTTTTTGTAGAG